TCTGGCAGCATCTGTGGAGGAAAAAATCAGAGTTAACGTTTCGGGTCTGGTGACCCTTCCTCAGAACTGAGGAAGGGTCACCGGACCCGAAATGTTAACTCTGATTTTTTCTTCACAGATGCTGCTAGATCTGCTGAGCTTTTCCAGCAACTTTTGTTTTTGTTCCTGATTTACAGCATCCACAGTTATTTCAGTTTTTATTCTGTATAGTTAAAAAGGTTTCGTAAGACATACCTCAGTTGCATTCCTTAGTTATTGTGAAAGTTAACTTTTTCATTAATTTGATGTATTAATTGCCTGTTAATCGTTGATCTGTGTCGATTTTACTTCGCATTTTTACAATTACTATTTTAAAGGGTGAAATCCTGTCCTGCTGTTCTTTCTGTTGGTTGCTGGAAAATCCATCTTTTTGAAAGCTGTCAGTCTGTATGGGGTTTGCAACCAAAGGTGTGATCTTGTTAATTCCACTTCTCCACTCTTTCCCCATATTACTACAACATTTTTTCTTCTTTATCAAATTATCTTGTGAAGGTTACTGATGAGACTGTTTCCAGTATTTCATTACATAGTGCATTCAAAATTGTAACCACTTGTTCAGTAAAAATGCTGGTCCGTTCGCTAAAAATAACTTATCTCAAAAGATTGATCTTTGAGCCATTCGAAAGACATTTCTTTTTACTTACTTATTTAAATTCATTAGGTTTTTAAACACATCTACTAAATTTTATCTTAGCCTTCTGTGCTCAAAGGAGAACAACCCCAGCCTCTCTGGTCTTGTTAAATAACTGGAATCCCTCATCCACAGAGCTAGTCTAGTCCAAGTCTTTTATATTCTTGGTGAAGCCTTTTCATAGTTTCTTGAGTGAGGTGCCCAGAATAGGTTACAATCCTGCAACTAAGGAGAACTAGTGTTTTATTTGTGCTTTCTATAAATTTGGCTTAAACTGCTGATTTCTGTTCTTACTAATTACTGCATTCTTACTAATAGCCCAGGATCCTGTATGCTTTGTTTATTGCTTTGTTAACCTGTCTTGTCACCTTCAGAGATTTATGCAAATACCCTTAGATCTCTGTCTTCTTTCACTTCTTTTAAATTGTGTCATTTAGCATTTATCATCTCCGTGTACAATCTATCTTCATTCTTCCTGCAAATGTGTATCAACTCATAATTTACTTTTTTGCATTTTATTTGCCATGTGTCCAGCCATTCCATCAGCCTATGTTCTTTTGAAGTTTATAAACAAGAAATAGAAGTAGGAGAGATTATATGGCTTCTTAATCCTGCTTAAACCCATCCCAAACAAAGGTGCCAAATACTGAACCAAAAACTCTAAATGAGATCTGGGTGGTGTTTTAACATTAAGTTTTCTAAGTGCAATATCTAGAGTTTAAACATATCGAAATTTGTTGCCTCGACCCCTTATATTCATACTGGTTTAGGTGACAGAAGTGAGGAGGCATTGTTAATTGGTAATGGATAAAATAAAACAAAACATACTGGAAACGCTTCCCAACTAAATCTATATCTGTTTAGGGAATGAACCAATTTATGAGGCAAATGGATATAGGTTTTCTGAGAAATTGAACGCTATTTGAGATTAAGGCAGCCACGTGTTTTAGTGTGGAATAATAATCCTGTGTGATCAGACAACCAATTACCCACTCTGTATTTTCAGGCATCCATGACCCAGAGAAGTAAAGGTATCAACACTCCTATTCTTCTGGACCTGTATCTGAAAAGGGAAAAAAAAAACGCTTGATGGCAAAATATCCCTCATGTTGATACATTTTATAGAAAAAAAGGATAAAAATATAGAAATGTCTATATGCGACAATATATTTTTTAAAGCATTTAATGCACTGCATATAGATACATAGAGTCATAGAGATGTACAGCACGGAAACAGACCCTTCGGATGAGCCTGTCCATGCTGACCAGATATCCTAAATTCATCTAGTGACATTTGCCAGCATTTGGATCATATCCCTCTAAACCCTTCCTATTCATATACCCATCCAGATGCCTTTTAAACGTTCTAGTTGTACCAGCTTCCACCACCTCCAAACCCTGGCAACATCTTTGTAAATCTTTTCTGCACCCTTTCAAGTTTAATAACATCTTTCCTACATCTCAGTCACTCAGGCATTCTCAGTGACTGTGACAGACAGTCTGACACTCAGACTGTCAGTTATTGAGACTATCTGTCACTGTTACTCAGACTGTTAAACACGCAAACTGTCAGAAACAGTCATTCAGGTTGTCACCCAGATTGTGAACTACTCAAACTGCCTGTTAGACACTCAGACTGCCTGTCACTTTCACTCAGACGGTTAGAGACAGCCAGACTGTAAGTCATTCAGACTGTCACTCAGACTGTTAGTGACAGCTAGATTGTCAGTCACTCTGACTGTCACTCAGATTGTTAGTGACAGCCAGACTGTCCGTCACTCAGACTGTCACAGTCAGACTGTCAGTCACTCAGACTGTCACTCACTGTTAGAGACATCCAGACTGTCTGTCAGTCAGACTGTTAGAGACAGCCAGACTGTCCGTCACTCAGGCTGTCACAGTCAGACTGTCAGTCACTCAGACTGTCACTCACTATTAGAGACATCCAGACTGTCTGTCACTCAGACTGTTAGAGACAGCCAGACTGTCAGTTTCCACCTGGAGACAGCCTGCAACCAGGGAGACAGTTGGTGTCATGCACAGCCAATCAGCAGTGGGACCTTGAAGCCACAGCCAATGGGAGTTTATGATGCTGGGGTGTGCGGCTCATTGCTGACATTTCAGTTCCAGCCGGAGCCGCATGTGATCATGGTTACCGTGTTCTCGTCCCCTGCTCCAGCAGCCGCCACCCTCTCCCTTTACAGTGTCTGTTTCATCTAGCGACAGGTAAGGTACAGGGTTGGTGTGGGCTGAGGGAGACACAGTTCCTCCCCTATTCACCATCCCGCCCCCACCCCCACACCTCCCAGCCCTTGGCAGACCCGGCTGCAGGGAGACAATGAGCCAGGAGACCGGGTCCTTTCTGTTCTCTCCTCCCTCCTCTTTCTGCCTTCACTCTACAGGGCGAATGCTGCTTGTGTTTTTCTTTGTGCCACGTCTACGGCCAGGGCCGAGGCTGCAGAAACTTCTGACGGTGTGAGATTGTGATTAAAGGTCTGGTAAAGGATAGCACTGAGAGTGTTTTAGTATAGATATGACCGCCTGCAGTGCTTGTTCTGTTTCCGTTTCTATGTAACATGCACTTGGAATTTTGATAGTATAATAATCGTGTTAATTCTATAATTACAGTTCAGGTTTTACCAGTCCAAAACATTGATGTTAGTTCTCCTCTGACCACCTTCTTGGCAATGTCTTTCCCATATCTTGGCCTCCTTCCTATTTGAACACAGACTTCTGTATGTTAGATGGGAATTTTGAATATGAAGTTCATAACGATTGAATATGATTTGTTTGAATGTGAGCATTTCTACCCCAACCTTTCTCAGTTGGAAATGTGTGAGTAGTGATCAGAAATAAAAATGCCACTGGAGATTCATTCCTTCACCACTGCCTTTCCTCCTGTCACCCAAACAAGGCAAGTGTCTGCACATTGGCCAATTTATGCAGAGATCAGTTAAAGACGTGTATGTATGGAACTGCAGGAGATGGGTGAGGTCATCAATGAATATTTCTCCTGTGTTTGCTGTGGAGAAAGACATGAAGATTTGGGAACTTGGGGAAGTTAGTGGCATTATCTTGGGGACAGTTCATATCACAGTAGAGGAGGTGTTGGAAGTATTAGAAAGTATGAAGGTGGATAAATCTCCTAGACCTTAGCAAATATATCCAAAAACTCTGCAAGAGGCTAGAGAAGAAATTGCAGGGGGCCCTGGCAGATATATTTGCATCATTGTTAGCTACGGGTGAGATCCCAGAAGACTGGAGGGTAGCGAATGTTGTAGCCCTTATTCAAGAAGGGCTGCAAAGAAAAAACTGGGAATTAATGGACCAGTAAGCTTAATCTGTAGTAGGTAAATTAATTGAAAAGATTCTGGGGGATAAGATATATATGCATTTAGAAAGACAGGGTTTGATTGGGAGTAGTCAGTATGGCTTCGTGCGTGGGAGATCATGCCTTACAAAATTGTTAGAGCTCTTTGGAGTGACTAGGAAAGTTGAGGGCAGGGTGGTAGGGATATGGATCTATATGGATTTCAGTAAGGCCTTTGATAAGGTTCCACGTGGTAGCTGTTCTGGAAGGTTAGATCGCATGGAATCCAGGGAGAGTTGGCAAATTGGATACACAATTGGCTTGATGGTAGGAAGCAGAGAGTAATAGTGGAAGGATGCTTGTCAGGCTGGAGGCCTGTGACTAGTGGTGTGCCTCGGGTTGGTGCTGGGCCCATTGCTGTTTATCTATATCAATGATTTGGATGAGAATGTGCAAGGCATGATTAGTAAGTTTGCGAATGACACAAAAATAGGCTGTATCGTGGACAGTGAGGGAGGTTATCAGAAATTGCAGCAGGATCTTGATTAGCTGGAGAACTGGGCCCAGAAATGGAAAATGGAGTTTAATATCGGTAAGTATGAGGTGTTGCTTTTTGGAAAGTCAAATCAAGGTAGGAGTTTCATGGTGAATGGTAGGGCCTTAAGGAGTGTAGGGACCTTGGAGTTCAGGTGCACAGTTCTCTGAAAGTGGAGTCTGGTAGACAGGGCACTGAAAAAGGCTTTTGGTGCACTGGCCTTCATCAGTCAAGGCATTGAGTATAAGATGTTGGAAGTTATGTTGCGGTTGTACAGGATGTTGGTGAGGCCGCACTTGGAGTATTGTGTTCAGTTTTGGTCACCTTGCTATAGGAAGGATGTTATTAAACTGGAAAGAGTGCAGAAGAAATTTACAAGGATGTTGCCAGGATTAAAGGGACTGAGTTATAGGGAGAGATTGGACAAGCCGGGACATTTTTCTTTAGAGCACAGGAGACTGAAGGAGGGACCTTTTATAGAAGCGTATAAGATCATGAGAAGCATGGATAGGGTGAATGCACTCAGTCTTTTTCCCAGGGTTGGGGAATTGAGGACTGGAGGGCATCAGTTTAAGGTAAGAGGGGAAAGAATACATGAGAACCTGAGGGGCAACTTCTTTTACACAGAGGATGATAGGCATATGGAATGTGCTGCCAGCTGAAGAAGTTGAGGTGGGTACATTAACAACATTTAAAGGCATTTGGATGAATACATGGATAGGAAAGGTTCAGAAGGATGTGGGCTAAGTGCAAGGAAATGGTGTAAGTGTGGATGGACATTTTGGTCAGCATGCACCAGTTTGGGCTGAAGGGCATGTCTCTGTGCTGTAGGACTCTATGACCAATGTTTTTTGTTCATTTGTCGTGTTATTGCAGCTGTACCTAGCCTTGTTAGGTCACTTCTGAGGTACTCCGTACAGTTTTGCTTTCCTTATTTGAAAAAAAGTGTTAGAAACAGTTCAGAGAAGGTTCAATGATTCCTGGAATGAAGAGGTTGTCTTATTAGGAAAAGTTGACAGCTTGGGTCTAATTGCTATTAGAGTTTAGCAGAATGAAAGATTTGCTTATTAAACCAATACTCTGAGAGAACGAAAACAGAAGTTGCTGGAAAAGCTCAGCAGGTCTGGCAGTATCTGTGAATAAAAAAAAATCAGAGTTAACATTTCGGGTCTGGTGACCCTTCCTCGGAACAGTTCTGAGGAAGGATCACTGGACCCAAAACATTAACTCTGGATTTTTTTCTTCGCAGATGCTGCCAGAGCTGCTGAGCTTTTCCAGCAACTTCTGTTTTCATACCTGATTTACAGCAGTTTTTTTGGTTTTTATTTACTATTCTGAGAGAAAATGACAGGTGGATGCCAGGAAGATATTTTCTTTTGGGGAGAGTAAAATAGGTAGACACAGTTTGATAAGGGGTATTGCTTTTAAGGTAAATGAGAATTTAAAATGTGGTATTCTGTTCATTTGAAAGCATGGAGATTGGGTTATTTGATTTGTTCAAGGTACAAATGAGAGGGATTTCTAGTGGCCAAAGTAGACCAAGGCTTTTTGAGAATGTGATGGGAAAGTTGAGTTTAGACCATAGCCATATCAAGCATGGCTGTACAGGCTGAAAGAGTCAAATGGTGTAATCCTAAGTCCTATGTTGCTATGAGCATTAGTGACAAGGCCCCAATATTTATTGTTTATCCCAAAATGCACTTCAGTGTGTTGGTGACTGGTGCCTTTAGCCATTGTAGTCTGTGTGGTAAAAGCATATGCATGATGCTGTTCAGTAGGGAGTTTCAGGACTGTGAACCAGTACGAGTGAAGTGAAAGTGTTGTAGTTCCAGGTCAAGATGGTATGTGACTTGGAAGTAAATGTGTAGGTGTTGGTGTTCTGGGCATCTGCTGCCCTTGTCCTTGTGAATCGCAGAGGTCAGGGGTTTTGAAGGTACTTGGTGAGTTGCTGAGGTGCATGTGTATACTGCTGCCACTCTGTACTACTCCTGATGGATGGAGTGAATTTTAGGTGGTTACTGCTTTACTATTCAAGTTGGCTGTTTGTTTTGGATGCTGCCAAGCTTGTGGCAAAGTGTGAGACTGGAGAATATTCATCTTCTGGGCCCAATTATCCACGAACTTGTGTCTGTGTATGCTTCCTTTTTGAAGCTTCAACCTATGTACTTTGAGTCTGGAGTTTGGGGAACTTGGAACACTATGCAGTTCAGTTTAAGAATCTTAAATACTTGAACAGTATATCTTCTCTATTTGCTTGAATAAACAATCATGGGATGTTCTCATATCTCTTTTGTAGCTCGGATGACTTCAACCAACTAGTTGTTTTGTTGCCCTGACATCCCAAGTTTTGTTTGAGATTCTTTTCCTTAAGACTAGTAGTTTTGTCCTCACCAATTCTGCTTATTCTTGTTGTAAAGAGCAGTCTTTTTTCTGTTTGCCATTTGTATAGTGGTATTTTTGGTGTTGTATGTTGAGTGTACTTATTCTTCTGGATAACTTGCTGTCTCTTGCTGGGAATAGAGTTTCTGGTTTTGTGACAATTGGCCATTATGACTGTATTGCTCCTAAAATTGCATTCACTTTCATGCGTTTTCTTCCTGCATTAGTTGGCATTTTAAAACATAATTCTTTATATGCAAGTGTTGTAACCTGAAATTTTAATTACAAAAGTTGAAAGTGGATTTTGTCACAAAAATGTATTTCAGATCCTTTTGTCCACCAGTAGTGAGTCGCCCAATTTTGGTTTTTTGAAATTGCTGAAACTATTTTTTTGCTTAGATTTGGGGCACAATGCTTCAAGTCTTATGTTTATAAAATATTTTAAAAGATTTAAAACGTACCTAATAGCACCCTTATTTTTTTGAAAGATAGTGGTTAAAGTTTGGAACCTCCTTGAAGAACTGCAAACAAATGCAGTTGGTGGAAACCCCTCATTGTGATTTATTTGTCTTGGGGCATGGTCAGTTTTGGATGAAGGTATAGAGTGATGTTTCTAAACCAGTTGGAAACTTGAGTTGTGCTATATGCAAGTAATTCCATATTTTTTTTTCCATACTGGTATCAAGGAAATTGTGCCAAGAAAACCAGTGGCAAATTCAGACTTTTTTAGTGTCATCTTAGGTTTTTATATTTAAAACATTTATTTCTGCTTGTGAATTTCGTTTTTCGACCTACATTTGTTAATTGTTTTTTTTAAGATCAAAATTGCCATGTTTGTTAATCTCAATGTTATAATGCAAATACTTTATCTTAGCAAGTGTTGTGTTGAAAGCAAGTATGACCTTATTGACTACATGAGGCTTTTATAATTTCCAAATGATAAAGCTTGGTATTTACAGTTATGTACAGTTCCATAAAGTAGAATTATAAAGGGTAATCAAC